CACCCCCCCCCCCCCCCCCCAACACCCCCCCCCCCCCCCCCCCCCCCCCCCCCCCCCCCCCCCCCCCCCCCCCCCCCGCGGGGGGGCCGCCCCCCCCCGTTTATACGCCGCCGACTCCGCCGTCCTCGAGACTTTCGTCCCACCCGCCTGTCGATAGGAGCCACTCGCCCACGCGCTCCTTGACGCCTTTCATGGCCTCGCCGAGAGCGCTCTCCCATTGGTCTTGTACAAGACGTACCTTTTCCTTGAGATCGTCTGTGAGCCTCGTCTGTTCTGCAGCACGTTCCTCCTCAATGACACGCGGGTCGTGACCTTCCGCCTCGCCTACTCTCGCACGTGCGCTCATCACGGCCTCTTTGACCTCGTGTAGTAGACACAGGAGATTGGTCTGCGACTCGATGAACTGGTACGTGCTCTTCTCGGCGTGTAGCAACAAGCTAAACAAGTACTGTAGCGGGTGGCGGTGGTAGCTAGGGTTCTCCTCATACTCAGCCGGCGGGATCTGGATGCGGAAGTGCCCGTCGACTGATGCCGGGATTTTATCGAGTAGTCGTCGAAGGGGAGGTGCTAGGTCCCAGAACGCGTTAAGCTGCATATCGACACCCCGCGTCACGTTCTCCTCCACCACGTCCCGGAACTCGCATGTTCGCTGTAGAACTTCGCCCGCGAACGCTCGCTGCCGCTTACACGCATCGTCTACGAAGAATGCTTCCGCCGTTTGTAGCTTCTCCTCGTTGCCGGAGAGTCGGTACGGGGTGATTACCATCTCTTTGTACCGATTGTTGCGGTCGCTCAGCAAGTCGTATATTTCGCGGTGTAGCATCTCGCGTGCTTCGAAGACCCATTTGAGAAGGGTTAGTTTCTCGAGCAGTTCTGGTTGCTCGTCACCTTCCTCCTGTGGCATGTTGGGATTAGGCGCCTGGGTCTCGACGAAAAGGCGCGAGCGTAGTTCTTCAAATAGTGAAGTGGCCTGTGCGATGCGGCCTGTGAGTAGCTCATTAAGTGGCATGACAACTGCGTTTTGGAACCGATCGAACTCCTGCTTGTCCATCTCCTTGGTCTTTGCGTTTTCAGATGCTTGCGTGTCGGCCTCGATGGCGGCTGCTTCGGCGTATGACATGTTACCTGCGCTAATTTCCTGGTGAAGATTTGCGCGTAGTGATTTTAATCTTGAAGAGGCTCCCTGAACAGCTTCCTCGCGCACCCTCTGGCTATCAAGTATGAATCGTTCCTTCGTCGCCTGGATCTCTTGCATATCGCTTAGAGACCTCACCCTTGTACGAGTAGATGCTAGTTCTGGGTGGTTATTATTTACTGCGGGATGATGTCGTGGATAAGGTGGTGGCAGCGTTACTAGTCGTGATACATCTAGATGGGAAGGGCTTGGGGTGTTCGGTGCTGATGAACCTAGGGATAAGAGAGAATTTCGTAACGGCTGAGGTGTACTCAACTCCTTCGACTCATGCCATCCAACCTTTTCGGGGGGGTATTCGTTCTCCGAGTAATACTTGCTCGACCCTGCATGGCTATCTGCAGTACCTGGTTCATCCTCCCATTGTAAGGCTTCCCGTGCCTCTTTTGGTACACCCATATACTTGGACTCGCGTTTTGTTCTTTCCATTCGGTTTGACTCTCCGCCGCCCGACTCCGTTTCCCACCAACGACTTGCTGGTCGGCCCCGTGAGCTCGACCCATCTAAATGTTCACTGACGCTCATACTAAGAATCGGTGATAATGATGGCATATACTGAGAAGCCCAATTCCCATTTGTAGGTCCATTAATAGGCGAGCTTGAGGTTGGCATATTGGCAGAAGGCGGCGCAGAGTTGGATTGTACTTGTTCGCGGAAAACAGAAGTCATCGAGTTCCGTTGCGATCTTGGTTCCGACATCTGCGGTGTCCATTCTCCAGATTGTGAGTTCGTTGAGTCGCGCCGTACTTTCATAGGCCGGAATAAGTCCCGTGTTAGATCGAATATCTCAGAACCCATCGCTCCGATCGCCGATGCATATCTTTCGCGACGTAATCTAGACTCGTTGACTATGAAATCAGCAAACAGCTTCACCCGTTCAGCATCTGACTCTGCAACTGCTTCGTGGTTGGCGAAAGCTTGGAAACGCTCTATGCTGCTCCGGCAGAATTGCTCGGCCGTCTGGCCAACTACGGCTTGTTTAGTCGTGGGATAAGTAGTATCGGCCGACGAAATGCCATTCATCAAGATACGTATATCTGGTCGTGCTTGAGAGGAATTGGAAGCTGATCGACTCTGTGGTGGTGGTGTAGGAAGAGCTTTCGGGGCGATGGGATGGCCCGGCTCTGACACCGGATAAGCCTTTTGCGGACGTGGGGAAAAGGGCGGCGTCGGTGTCTCTGGATGTAATCCGGCAGAGGGACGAGGTGTCGAATTTCTAGAATCCATGTTGGCATCATCCCCAGATCTTGGCACGTCGGCTATTGTTTTACCACCGCTTCGAGGCGTCCCCTTATGAACTGAAAATCTGCGGGATAAACCTGACCCATTAGGAACTATAATGTCAGATAAAGGCTGGATCCCGTCCTCTGCTTTTTGTCGCGTCCGACTCTCGTTCCGTCTTTCACGCAAGGATTTTTCACCTCGAACGGCCCCCGTCCGGTTTAGACCGGCGCTTGTAGAGCCAGATCCGGAGCCCGAATCGGGGACAGCCGGCGGGCTAGACGCAGCGGCAGCGGCTGTATCAATAGTCAACCCGATTGGGTTGGGCGATTTACCACGTCCTTGCTGCTCTTCACCTACCCAGTCGGCCGGGGTTGGCGGGACGGGGCCGAGCGCAGTTACTCCATTGGGAGGTGGTCTTCTCGTAGGAGGGGAAACAACAGGCTCACTGGTCCTATTGAGACTCTGAGATCTAGACTGGGTAGGAGGAGGGCCTGGCGGTGGTGGAGGTAGGGGCATACCGGGCTCCCATCTTGATTGCGACGCCGATCTAGACCGAGCCGACGTTGGCGTCTCAACCGCACTCGCCGATGCTGCTCTGCGGGAGTTAGGAGGTATGGTTGGGACGTTATTTTCTGCTGAATTGAGGGGACTGGGAACCTGAATCATTAGGGTTTGAGGCCGGGATAATGAAGTAGGAGGGTGAGAATCGGGAGGTGATATGGATTCGGGAGTGCCTCGGTCTCTCCGCCTTGTTAGTGATGGTAGGCCAAAACGCCTCTCACGAGAGCCGCCGCGTCCATTTGAGCCCGGCGGGGGAGGAAAGCTTTGATTGTTTGGTGGCTCCGGCGAAGGACGATGAACACTTGAAGCGGGAATCCGCGCAGCAGAGATATTTGCTGGCGGCGTCTCATGGACCGTACTATTCGGCCTTTGACTCCGGGGAGGGGAATAAGGTGGAGGTGGCGCCGGGACTGGCGCATTCGACTCCGTCAGCTTACTTTCACCGCGTAACGACTCGAAATATCATCAGATGAGTAGTGGCTTACCTTGTGGATTTAGTGTCAACGGCGGAGGGTAATGATGCGTTCGCTCAGGGCCCACCGCAGAAGTGGGCGCCCATTCCTGAGGGTTGTAGGGCTGTATTGAGCTGGCTGGCGTATGGAGTCCAGCAAAAGTATGCGACGGAGTAATTGACACGGCAGAGTGCGGTGTGTTTAGCTGATTATGGTAACCCCCGAGAGCTGTCGTCCGTAATGGATTGAGAGCCTGGCGAAGTCGAGAGGTTGTACCATCACGCGGACTGGT